GCTCTTCTGAGTGTTCTAGGCTCATCTCACGGCCAGCAAGCCTGGCCCAACTCACAGTGACCCTACAGGACAGGGCAGACCTTCCGCTGTGGGAGTCCCAGGCTTTAGGGGAGTACAGAGTCCCGTCTTTCTCCTGAGCAGCGGCTGGTAGTCTCAAATTGCTGACTTTGAGGTGGCCACCCAGTGTGTAGCCCACTATACCACCAGGATCCTCTCGGGGCTCACAACTCACTTATTTCCTTACTTTTTCCAAGAAAAGGTCGGCCAAAACGTGGTCATTGCTCTGCCTTGTGAGACAGACATAGGTTGGTAGGTGCGAGTCTGAATACTTTGGGTCCAGTTTAAAAGGTGCACACCCCTTGCACTTGTGTCAGGGCCCTAATCGCAGGTGATCCCACCTTGGAACGCTGAGGGGAAACTGGCTGAGACTAGTCTAACAGTGTTCAACCTGGCACCTGGACAGAGCACTGAGGCGTGTGGTAGCTGCACCTGAGCGTCAGGCCGTGAGCGGTGACCCGCTGTGCCTCTCTGCTGATGGATTTGAACTATGATCATGCTTTGCTCTGTCTTCAGTATATTTTACTGACACCCTGGAGATCACGGTTGTTAACACCTGAGAAACAAGCAAGTTGATAGGCACAGCCACCCTGTTGTTGGAGAGTGATTCTGCGAGGAAGGACTTGCATGTGGTCCCTAATGGTCTTCTCACCAATACATGGTTCAGGGGTCTGAGGAACTAGCCCATTCCCTCCTTGAGTTCTATGCCTCTGTGTTAATGCCTATAGGGGGATGCTTGCTTCCACAAATCTAGTGTTCTTGTGACTGAAAACAGAGCATAAGCCCTTCCTGGGAAAACCATAGATGTAATCGTTTCCATTTGAATATGGAAGATTGTCTTCAATACTGTGATGCCAACCAGCAGACAGGAAAATTATTTTGACGACAGCGTCTCATAGTAATATCTGTAATATTTTTTAAGCAGCGGTAGTCTGTTGTTTAATAGATGTCTAGCAGTCAGATACAGAACCCTTAGGGGGCATAGTAGGTTACGTGTTGAGCTGCTGCCAACTGCAAGGTCAACGGTTCAAACCAACCAGTCGCCGCCCAGGAGAAAAATGAGGCTTTCCACTCCCATAAGATGTTACAGTCACGAAGCCCAAAGGGGCTGCTCTCCCCTGTCCTGCAGGCTGGCGCGTGCCGGCCTCCACTCAGTGGCGGTGAGGTGAGGTTGGTTTGGTTTGGGGGTGATCAGACAAAGACTTTAAGTTAATTCTTTGGGTGCCTCTGCGTTTTATTTCGGGACTGGTAGCATAAAATTAAATAAGCTGCTTGTCTCTCAGGTTGGAAAGAGGCCGCCGATTTCCAAAATGTTCCTTTCTTTCCTGAAGAGTTGCATCTCGGCAAGGCCCTCACTTACACACAGGAAAAAGGAAGGTTGGCTTAAATTGATGTTTCACTATCTGTTACGGGCCTGCCAGGTTTTCTGCCCTCTGAAGGAAGAGCCCCCTCTCTCATGCACACATTTGGTCGATCAAGTCCCTCTCCTCATCCGTTATAAAAGCGTCCAAATGCAGAAAGCTCTTTCATGTATTTCCAGCACCCTGGAGGCCTGTTTATGCATTTGGATCTATCCAAGCAATCTCTGAGTCAGCAATATTTTTCCCTTAATTTTTTTTTATAAACAACTCAATAACCCATCTCACCACGGTTGATCAGATGGGTCATGTAGTCAATACAAATTCCGTCACTAGGTCCCCAAACCCTTCCGTAATAAGATTGCAAGTTGCACGGGACAGACAAGCAGGAACTAGGGATTTTCAAGGCTTGCTTAGCTACCGGTCAGCAGACAACTCTCTCTAGGGACTGCTCCCCAGACGGTTCACGTCCTCACCACAGCTCTTACCTTCTTGAAGGCAGCGCGCTCCTTAGCCCAAGCCACAAAAACTTAAGTCATTATCAGAATGCCCATAGTGTCTTCCTTAAAAAAGAGAAAGAAAATATGGAGGCGTATTGCTGCCCGGGAATCAATAACCCCATCAAAAAGATGAAAACCCATGCTTCATTATCCACCAAGGTGCCAGGCTTAACAAGGTGACTCTAGTCTCATGTGGGTTCTCAGCATGGCTCCAAGGTGCATAACATTTGCTTCTCCTATCGATTGGCTCCCATGCTGCGTCCTCTCTAAATGTCCAGGAAAACAAAACAAAACACACTGGTTCTTTTTTATCATAGACTTAATCTATGAGACTTAGAAAGTCCATTCGTGGACACACACACACACACACACACACACACACACACACACACCAGGCTTTACAACGTTGACTGGTGTGCTGAGAGTGATGTTTCTGTTCTCCCGGCCAGTTTGGAAGTTTCCTGAACACGTGCACAGAGGAACTTGCCCAACTGCCTAATGAAGTCTGAGTGGCGTGGCGTTGATACGCTGGCCAGCTGTTCAAGAGCCCCATGAAAACTGTGTGAGGGGAGCCCTTGCCGGCTGGAAGCGGTGGGCTTTGCTGGAGAGATGTGTGAAGTGTGTTGCCAAGTGGCAAAGAGCAGGGTGATCTCCTTTTCTGGCCCCGGAAGCTGGCCGGTCAGTGTGTCCTGGCATGGGAAGAAGCGGAAAGGCTGGAGCATGTGGGAAGTCTAAGGAAGGGAGCCCAAAAATGTCCCATCTGTCGAAACTGCTTTTTAGCGGAAGCAATGGCCTTTAACCCCTCCAATCCTACTCCAGCCTTAAGGGAAATTAGTCTAATGGCTTTTATTGATAGCAATCTCGACTGAACCATGGTCCATGCTGCAAACAGAATATGCAAAGTGATCAGCCTGGGAGGTGAATTCCCTCTGACCTCCGAGGAAGGTGGTCTTAGTTGAGGATGGCTTTGTATGCAGAAGAGCCAGAGACAGAGTGTTTCTGGGAATGGTAACTAAACCATCGTTAGAGTGTATCACAGTAGAACCCCGGACCTCGACGCTAATCCGCTCTAGAAGGCGCATTGACATGCAGTGCAGTTTAGTTCTGAATCATTTTCCCATGAGAAATAACTGAGAACGGATTAATCTGTTCTCAACCACCAAGTTTTACCCTAACCTTGCCTTTTTATACAAAACATTATTCAGAAATTCAAAGTAAATAAGTTCAGAGTTAAATAAGAAACACAACATTAAAAACGTTTTTAACAGCTACAGTATGGCCCATCAACCTTGAGATTGATGAGGATCTGGATCTGTGGACACTGATGTGGAGAGGAGGTATGGAAAGAGAGTCATTGTTTGGAAGGCGAATCCCCTTCCATAAAATCATTTGGTAGCTGCTTATCAGGAGTTTTGGGTTTTTTACCCCTTCTTTACCTTTTTTCTCTAGGACCTGTCTGGCTTTCTCTTTAAAAAAAAATCTAATGTGTTCTGGTGTTGACATTTCCTTAACTGTTTTCTAAAAGAGTTTACTAAATTATCATCAACAATATCGATAATACAGTTAAGTAGTTCCTTCTCGTAATGATTCTTTTTTTAAAAACTCTTGTGTTTTTTTAATCTAAAAACAGTACAAAAAGCCAGAAAAACTTAGAAAATTACAGTAAAACACTTGGAATCCAGCTGCAAAAGGTTTAAACAAGGCGAACTAACAAGACCAACCAATGCCGAGGACCTAATCAAGAACTGCTTTTGTTTACAAAAATCACATGCATCGGGCCAGATTCGATGTTTTGTTCGAGCTCTGATGCAAAATTTTCTTGACATTTCGCATCGAAATCTGATTATGTCTAGTCCTGATGCGGTCGAGGGCCGGGGTTCTATCGTATACAGAAAAGTAAACTATAAAAATGCGCGTACTGCATGGCGCCAACTTCGCTGTGCGTTCACATGGAAAGAAAAGGTTATCGGTGATCACCTCTGGACAGTGGGCACTGCTGGCTTTCATTGGTGGTTGTCTGTATTTTCCAGTTTTTCTGCAGCCATCCTAATAATAGTAACAGAACAAAAGGCCCCTTGCCAGTCAAGTCCCTGTGACTCAGAGGCAGCCCTGCGGGACTGAGTGGTGCTGCCCCAGAGGGTTCCCCAGGCTGTAAATCTTCACAGAAGCATCTTTCTCCCAGGGAGCAGCTGGTGGGTTCAAACCGCTGACCATTTGGTTGGCAGCCAAGCACTTACCGACTCCGCCGCCCTCGCCACCAAGGCTCCTTTTAAAACAGTAATTCTCATGAAAGACGCATGCTCAGAGTAGATGTTTTGTTCCGAAGGGGTCTTCCTTATGGAGAAGACTGAGTGACTCGTGTCCTTTCCTCCCCGCAGGCGCCCCCCAAGACATCGCGGTCGCGAGAAACCAGGCCGCCGCCCTCCAGAGCATGCGGACTTCGCGGTTGATGGCACAGAACGCAAGCATGCTGGGCATGGCGCCCGCACAGAACCCGGGGGCGATGGCCACGGCAGCAGCCCAGACAGAGATGGGGCTGGCCGCTTACAGCAGCACGCCGGGCAGCCAGCCAGGAATGTACAACATGAGCACAGGAATGGCTCCGATGTTGCAGCACCCAAACCAAACTGGCTTGAGCATCACCCACAGCCAGGCCCAGGGGCCCAGGCAGCCCGCCTCGGGGCCGGGGGTCGCCATGGTGAGTGGTTTTGGTCAGAGCATGCTGGTGAACGCGGGCATGGCCCAGCCACACCCACAGATGAAAGGGCCGGTGAGCCAGGCCTTGGCAAGGCCCCAAGGCCCTCCCAGGCTTCAGAGCCTCGTGGGAACGGCCCAGCAAGCAGCACATGGCTGGCAGCAGAGGAGCTTGCAGACGATGCCTGGGAGGACTAGTGGAGAGCTGGGACCCTTCAACAATGGCGCCAGCTACCCGCTTCCAGCTGGGCAGCCGAGACTGACCAAGCAACACTTCCCCCAGGGCCTCAGCCAGGCCGTGGTGGACTCCAACACCGGCGCAGTGAGACCCCTCAACCCGGCTGCCATGGGGCGGCAGATGATGCCCACGCTCCCAGGGCAGCAAGGCGCCGGCCAGGCGAGACCAATGGTCATGTCCAGTATAAGCCAGGGCGTCCCCGGCATGCCGGGCTTCAGCCAGCCCCCTGCCCAGCAGCAGCAGATGCCCAGTGGCGGCTTTGCGCCAGGCACACCAAGCCAGGCCTATGACCGGAACCCCCCGCAGGACATGTCCTACAACTATGGCGAGGGCGCCGGGGCCTCCTTCCCCGGCCTCCCGGACAGTGCTGACCTGGTGGACTCCATTATCAAAGGTGGGCCAGGCGATGAGTGGATGCAGGAGCTGGACGAATTATTCGGAAACCCCTAGTTGGGGGTGGGGGACAGCCCCACCCCCACCCCCACCGTGAACCACGACTCTAGTGGTTACCATTTTTCAAAGTGAAAAGAAAAATTAAAAAAACAGGATGTTGACCTATCCGTGTTTTTTTTTTTTTTAAACCCACATAAACTGAGCAAAACTGCAAGTGGCCGGCAACGGGAAGCCCCCAGTGGTGATGAGCTTTGCCAGTGGGCCTCAAACCACCGGATTTTCACACCACAGTCAAGATGCTATGCAGACTTCCAATGGAAGGAGGGGCAGTGGGGACACTGAGGGACAGCTGGGGAGACTGAGCCCCAGTCCCCACCCCAGCAGCCCCTGGAATCACCTGGCCCAGCAAGAGCTGCTCAAGTCAAGAGGGACTGTTGGCCCAAGTGAGGCATCAGCCAGCCCCTCTGCCCCTGGCCAGGTGGGACGCACCACAGACGAGGCCTGGAGCCAGGGAGTCACCTGCAGAAGCCAGGGAGACACTCTACTGGGTGATGGCCCAGGCCGAGAGTGCACTCGGATGGAAAGAGAGGCAAGGCTTCAAGACAAGACAGGCCCCGGTGTTTGAAGGGTATGCAAGCCCCAGGGTAGCATCAAAGGAATCGGACAAAGGATTCCTGCCCGCCTCCTGCCCAGGATGACCCTCGGGAACTGTCGAGACCTGGCTCTCAGCTGTCTCCTGAGGATGGCCACCTGAGCCTGAAGGAGTGTCCACCCGCCGTCCTGGCCAGAGAGGGTAGCCCTCTGATGGTGACCAGCCATGGCCACCACTCCAGGCAGAGGGACTGGAGCCCCAGCAGGCTGGGTCCGGCCACACAGCCACAGTAAAGCTGTGGGCAGGGTGGAGAGGCCACAGAGGGACTCCGTGTTTGGCCCTGTCCATGTTCTCCTGCCCCTGCCCCAGCCTGCTGTCAGCCCGCCTCCCGGAGGACTGAAGGAGAAATGGAGTTTCGTCTCTCAGGAGCCTGGACTGAGTCCAAGCACAGGCGAGGAGACTTCAGACAATGCCTGCACCACAAAGGAGACACTGGAGTTTTCTTTCTCTGAGATGTGGAGAGTCGATGGCACTTGCTCCGCCCAGAACTGAGGGCAGCAACTGGGGGGCGGGTTCCCGAAGACCCGATCCTGTCAAGGCAGGCCTGACTCCTGGCAAGAGCGAGCCTCTGAAATCAGCCTTTGTTTACCTAATCCCTACTCACCCAAAAGACGGCTACAAAACCCCGGGGTATTAGGAGCTTTAATAATAATAATAATAAAGAAAATTAAAAACAATTTTTTTAATCCATTGCTACTATACCTGACAGATTTGGATGATCAAAGGGAGATGGTTACGGTCCCTGACACATGGGCAAAGTCAGCCACTTCAAAAGCTCTCTGCCACCATTCTTTGTCCTTCCCTCCCCCTCCCCTAAGTGGAGTCTCTCAGGAGGAGTCCCCACCCCCTCCCAGCTTCCACACCGTAGGCTTATTTCGTCCCTTGATGCCTACCCCCCCCCCGTCCCCTGTTCATAACTATCTTCATAAATGGGAGCAGCATGGAGTTTAGGCTGTCACCCCTCCCTCGGTGTTCTAAATGCTGGTTCCCTCCTGTGCCACTTCCCCCACCCCCCAGCCACAGCTGAGCCTCCGGGCTGCACTGGCTTGTCCTGGGGGAGCAGCTGGGGATGCAAGGTTGACTGGCATGCCAGGGCACAGGCGGGCCGAGCTCACCTTGGACTTGTTCACAGAGAGCAGGGGACACACGTGGGTGGCCAGGACCCAGGCAAGGTGACGGTGAACTTCCTGGATCACCGTGAGGGCCACAGCCAGGGAAACACTGAGTTGGAAAAAGATGGGAGGGGGGACAAATAAATAAATCTAAAAAGTAAAAGTAAATGAACAAGAAGACGCAGAATACATAATTGCCTTTTTCTGAGAGGCACATGAAATAAATGTATAAGCAATGATGAGAAACTGGAGGGCTGGGGGAGCAAGTGGGGGCACCTGGATCTTTGAAAAGAGCTCTCTCCAAATGCTCACTTCCGGGACCAACTCATAGAGAGGTAGATTTTAATAACGTCATTTCGTTTTTGTTTTTACGAAGGTGCTGATGTATATGTAATGTCTAAAAAAAAGGTTATTTGTAAATAAGTTTTTACAATACTGCAGATATCACTGGGTCTACTATCTGTAAAATATATATACATATAAATATATATATATACTGTTTGTTTAAAATAGAGTATTTTTATTTCATTCCTTAACTCATCCTCACAGCAGTGGTACCATGCTTCAGAGGACATCTCCTTGCTAATTTGTACTGTGTGACCCGATGGCAACCTGCTCCATTTTATTCAGATTTTTCTAGTGTTCTGTTCTCACTTTGTACATTGAGCATCGCTTCTCTCCTTTGGAGAAATGTACAGAACTCGGAAATGTGGGAATGAAGTGAGGCGGACATACCACTTTGAAAGGAAAGAGCAAAAAAGCAAATAAAAGATCATTAATCTGAATCAACTCAAAGTATCAGACCGTCCCTGGGGCTGTACCTTCCTCAAGCAGGCACACACGTTAGTCCTGGGGGTGAGCTCAGGACCTGCAGTTCCCGTATTCCAGCGTCGTGAGAAACCTACACCACCACACAACACAGACGCTCCAAACTTGCCACGGCGTGCCGAGAGTGTGGCGGAGGGAAGGGAGGAAGATCGACCCTGAAAAGCCTTGACAAAAACAACCCACTACTGTTGAGTTGAAATCAGCTTGCGATGACGCCGTGCGTTAGGGAGTAGAGCCGAGGGCAACCATAGGGTTTTCTTGGCGGTAATCTTTCATGGAAGCGGACTGCCAGGCCTCTCTTCCTTGGAACCAGTGGCTGGGTTCAAAGTGCCAACCTTTGCATTAGTAGCCCACACAAACGTTGGCGTCCCCGGGGTGGCGTTGGGGGTGGAGGCTCAAGGCTGAAAGGAGCATCCTGAAGTCCATTTGTAGATTCAGTACAATAACAATTTCTAACGGGTTCATACACAGACTTGAGGAAATTGAGAGTAAAAGGTTTGTGGGGAGGGGGAATATCAAGGACTACATGGGGGGTGGTCCTAGGAGGGTCTGGCCCCCTCTAGTGGACACTGTCAGTAAGCCCATCTCCCCATGCTGTGCACTTGCCATCTGACGGCCTGTACAGGGAGCTCCCTTTGGAGGGCTGCTCTTGACCGCTGTCATGTTTCTGTACCACCCAAAAAAGGTGAGCAAACTTAGAAGTTCACATCTCTCCAGATTGCCCTTCTCAATGCCTCCTGGCGAGGACTGTGAGAGCCCAGGTCACTTCCCTGGACACACCCCAGGATGTTAACTTTACTCCAGAGCCTTCCTGCAGGATCGCTGAACTTTAACTGGAAACTGCGCCCTTGCTGAGTGCTTGGCCCTTCTCTGTCCTGCTTCCCCCGCTCCTTTTGCATGTTCTCCTCTTGGGGCCCATCCTTGATCCATTGCATACATAGGGATCCACTTGTCCAGGTCTGCATTTAGGAGATGTAGCCTAAGACTCCCCAGCAAACTTTAGGAAGCAGGGTAAAGCAACAAGTGTTAAAACTGTCTGGGCCTTAGAGAAAAGACGGCCACCAGAATAGAACAGAAGCATCGGCAAAAGAGGACCCTAATGAAGGTGAGTTGTAATAAATACAAGCCAAGAAGGCAAAAATGAGTTGGATTGTGGAAGCTGAGGTCAGCCCTGTCCGTGGTGGGCCGTGGTTGCAGACTGGCTGGTCAATGATCCCATAGAGCGAGCAAGTTACACCAGACTAGCTTTGTAGCCTCTGCCGGGTCATGCAGGCCAGGGCAGAGGCTACTAAGGAGGAGCATGGAACTTGGAGAAGTACGGCCTATACCCAGTCCTGATTCGGGTATGTTATTCTCTAAATGGGTTTGCTAGATGGCGGCAACACCGTTTCCATTTAAAATCGGTTTCTTTCGTGTGCTCTTACCGTTCTCAAAAGCCGCCAGCGTGGTCAGTGTGTGGTGGAGGAGAGAGAGGGAGAAAATACACCTCTCTAGGAAGCCATTACTGGCCTTTCACAGGGCGTCTGCCCCAGCACAAAAGAGGCACTTCATGGTTGATAGATGAAGAAAGAAGGTCGCAGTCCAGGCCATTTGGATTCAGAGCCACCCGCTGTGTGTTCGAGTCTGACGGTGCCACACAGTTTCCGATGGCTGCTTTGTAGACATAGATCCCCAGGCCTTTCTTCTGAGGCACCTGGGCGTGGCCTTGGATGCCCCACCTTTTGGTTAGCACCTGAGCATAGCTGATACCATCCAGGGACCCCTGTAGGTGGATTAATACGCATTCAAAAGCATTATGTGGGCTGTTTCTGCCTTGGTCTTTTCCCTCCAGAACGCCCCAATCAAGCCAAACCCACTACCACGGAGCCAGTTCCCACTCATAGTGACCTGATCGGAGAAAACCGACCTGCCCTTGGGGCTTGGGAGATGGCAAGTCCTCCAGGAGGCAGACTGCCCCATGTGTCTCCTGAAGAGCAGCTGGGGGATTTGAACTAACAACTGGGCAGTCACTATACCACCAGGGTTCCTCCTAACCCCCCAGTCCCCTGCTAGAGGAAAACCAACCCAAAGTCAATGCCATCAAGTAGTGTCAAATTGTAGTGACCTTATAGGACAGTGTAGAACCGACCCTGCAGGTTTCCAAGACTCTAACGCTACAGTTGTAGAACGCCTCACTGGTTTCCCTCAGAGTGGCTGGTTTCACACTGCCGACCTTGTGCTTAGCAGACCGATGCACAACCACTCCAGCACTAGGGAAAGTGGACGAGAGAAATAAAATGTCTGAAGGGAGCAGGCTCTGATTCATTAAGGGCCAATGCGCATGTTGTTGCTGTCGACTTCATTGCCACTCATAGGACCCCTGTGGCAGAGAAGACGTGCCTCACAGGGCAGTCTAGACCTTGAGCCTCACCGGAGCAGATTGCCAACCCTTCCCACAGTGCCACAGGAAAGATGTGACCCAAGCTTCCCCGTTGTGCCCACACGGCCTCTCCTATGTGGGTAAGCAGTCCTATGTCTTCCCCCCCCACCCCCACCCTCTTTTTCACTCTTAAGTTTTCTCTTATTTGGTCATTGGGGGAATCTGAACTCCTGTCTCCAGGCCCAGGTTCAGTAGTTCTCTGTAACATTTAGCACTGCTATTTGAAATGCAAAACTTCACTGTGGAAAAACTGCTGCTAAAATGCCTTTCCTTTTCAGTTTCCTTACGCGCGCGCGCGCACACGCACACTCACACAAAAGAGAACCCCAATAGCTTCTTGAAGATGCCCGCATCAGATTCAAGGTTGCCTGGTTTTCTTTGGAAAAATACACAGAGGGATGTTTCTCTGATGTTAAAATGTGTGAACCCCAACCCCCTCCAAACACATTGATCTGACTCAAAGCAAGAAGCCCCGGTGGGGTTTCTGAGACTAAACCTTTACAGCAGTAGGCAACCTCAACTTTCTCCCATACCTGCTGGTAAGTTGGGGCCCTGGCCCGAGCAATTAGCAGCCCAGTGCTGACCCTGCAGTGCCACCAGGGAACCTCAAAATGTGGTGCGGACACTCACAATTCCTTTTCTCCAAGGTCCTTGAAGACTAGCTGGTGGGATCATTCTCATTAGACAAGGAACACAGGAAAGGAGAGTTCCCTCTGCTCTGCCAGAGATCATGTGTCCTGTGCACCAAGCCTCCCCCCGCCCCCACCCCCGCCCCCGCCCCCAGTGCACAGAATGGACAGGAGAGCCCAGCCCAGCTGCTGGGGCCTCACCCTGCTCCCTTTCCCCAAAGCTTAACCACTTAGTGAGCCCTGGTCTCTGGGTGGCTCTTTGAAAATGATGTCTATTTCCTCTTCCTCCTGCTGCTCCTCTTCCTGTGCCTGCCCTGCTCCTGCTCCTGCTCCTCCTCCTTTTGCTCCTGCTCCTCCACCCCCTCCTGCTCCTCCACCCCCTCCTGCTCCTGCTCCTGCTTCTCCTGCTCATCCTCCTCCTCCTCCTTTTGCTCCTGCTCCTCCTCCTGCTCCTCCTGCTGCTGTTCTGCTTCCACCTCCTCCTGATGCTCTGTTCCTCCTCCTCCTCCTCCTATTCCTGCCTCTCATGCTCCTGCTCCCTCCTCCACCACCTCCTCTCCCTCCTCCTTCTGTTCCTGCCTATCCTGCTCCTCCTCCCTCCTCCACCACCCCCTCCACCTCCTCCTGCTTCTCCTGCTCCTCCTCCTCCTCCTTTTGCTCCTGCTCCTCCACCTCCTCCTGCTTCTGCTTCTGCTCCTCCTCCTGCTGCTGTTCCTGCTCCCTCCTCCTCCTCCTCCTGATGCTCCTGTTCCTCCTCCTCCTGCTCCTATTACTGCTCCCTCCTCCTCCTGTTCCTGCTTCTCCTTCTCCTGCTCCCTCCTCCACCTCCTCCTCCTGCTCCTCCGCTTCCTGCTCCTCCCCCTTCTCTTCCTGCTTCTCCTCCTCCTCTTCCTGCTCCTCCTCCTCCTCTTCCTGAACCTGCTCGTGTTCCTCCTGCTGCTCCTGCTCCTGATCCGTCCCTTTCGCTCTCCTTTGCCATCTTCATTTTCATAAAGTACATTTTCACCGCACCTTTTCTGTGTTCTTTTAGCTGATGACTCTCTTCTCTGGCTACACAGCCTGGCTACTTCAGTCGATTACTTTCCTACAAGTAATGAAGAGGGGATGGCAGCTCATCCTCATTTGTCTGGAACTTTCCTTCAAGGGAGGCCAAACCAAAGACCAAACTCACAGCCTTTGAGGCTAGTCCGGCTCCTCACGACCGTACAGGACAGGGTAGAACTGCCCCTGTGGGTTTCCAAGACTGTAACTCTCTAGGGAGTAGAAAGCCTCAACTTCTCCCTCTGAGAAGCTGGTGGTTTCACACTGCTGATATGAAGGTGCGCAACCCAACATGTAACCACCGCCCCAGGGATCCTCCTTCAAGGGAGTGCTTGGTGGGGCCCACGGAGCTGTGCTCCACGGTCAAGTCACCTGACTCCGATACAAGCAGTCACAACCTTAGGATGCTCCTGGAGTCAGGGCAGAGATGTGTCTCCCCTGAAGAAGACTCGGCTCTTCAACAATTAAGCAGGATGTGTATTGTCTTTACAAAGTCATTTCAAGGAGGTGGGGGCAGGGGGGATAAGATTTTTATTGTTTTTAAAATAACTAGTTGATACTGTGTTGTCTTTAGGGCAAAAACAACTGCTACAACGTGCTAGAGGAAGGGGAGGGGAAGCCTTTGAAGTGCTCCTTCAGTGTCTCGGCAATGTGGAAGTGCAGACATTCATCCAGAAAGCGGTTTGCAAAGACCCC